AGAGATATGGTAAAGATATCTCATGTTCACATATAATTAATCAATAAACTGACCGATTAATTAATGATGAATTTATTTAATAGGCAGAAGATATTAAAATCTTAGAAACTGCTGATCCACAAATTCAGGTATTTATTTATTAATTTTTATATGTGTGTGTATTCAATAGTTATTATATAAATGACAAAAATATATATTTATATTAATATTTTATATATTATAGGAAACACTTGTATCAGAAAATGAACCAAATTTTATGGACAATGAACAAACATGGCCTACTGAAGAAGAGATGGGTGGGAGCAAGAGTAAGAAGAAAAAGAAATATTGTTTTACTACCAATTATTTTATAATCATCAAAATTAATCATATTTCATATAATATATATATTAGCATCAATATCAATTGAAGAACTTCCAGATGCACTTCCTGGTACAACTCCGAAAAGAATTTTAAAACGAGTTCCAAAAGGAACATCAACTTATCAAGCAACTTGGATTGTAGATGCTCAATCAGAAGAAGAAGAAGATTTTTACGATGATGATGAAGATGATAATATGGAAGTTGAAGGTATGGAAAATGAATTGGAAAATAATACAGGATCACATTTGACGAATTTTGGGGACGAAGATGAATATGAATATGATGAGATAGAAATGGACAAGAAGTTAAATTTGTCCAATCAATTAGAATCTGATGAAGAAGATAAACAGTATGATTATTTATTAAATTTTTTAAAAGGATAAACGTAGTAATTTATTTAATTTAATTTGATTTAATTTAATTAATTTAATAAATAAAGATTAAAGGAATATATATCCAAAAGAGAAAAACAACATAAAGATGACCTTGAATTTCCTGACGAGGTGGATACACCATTAGACGTACCTGCAAAAATTAGGTTTCAAAAATATCGTGGTTTACAAAGTTTTCGTACATCACCATGGGATCCATATGAAAATTTGCCAATTGATTATTCTAGAATCTTTCAATTTGAACATTATAAAAGAACAAAATCTAGAATTTTGAATCAGTTTATAGTTGGTGATGGTGTTAAGGTATTTATTTATTTTGTCGACTTTTTTATAATAGTATTATTTTTTATTGATTGGCTTT